AAGGAGGCTACGCATCCGTAAGCACCGCTTCCGATCTGCAGGGTACGGCGAAACCATGAAATGAGCCAAGTAATGAAGTGCTTGCGTTCATGCTCTTGGTAGCTTAGACAGAGACCGTTACGCCTCGTCGGGTTGGCAGGTTTTGTAACGTGCAGAGCTGCTCAGGCCAAGCTTACTCTCTTGAGATATCGAAAGCGCTGTGGAATGACCCATGTGGTATCGCCACTAATTTGAATCCGTCTGAGCCTCTCCTTTCTACCGTTAGGCCCAAAGCAGTAGCTGCTTTCCGGAGCGGGAACAGGGGCCCCATCTTTGCTAGGTATCGACTCCAGGGAAGGGGCATGGCCCTTGTGAGATGCTGTCGTAAGAGCATCTGCAGCCTCATTAGGCCGACAGACAGTACCTTGATGAGCCTGGTGAGCAACAGCAGCTTTGGCTGCTCCTTGCTGCTGCTGGAAGCTCTGGTCTCGCTGTCTGTGCGGATTTGCCGCGCTAGCCGGCGGGGGCTCCTGGGACACCGGCAGGACCTGAGTTGTCTGTCGCAGCGTAGTCCCTTGCGAGCGCTGCATCTTAACCTTGACAGGACAAAAATACAAACTGGTGGACAAGAAGCTCAGGCCGCTTCTGAACACGGGCTGCCCGGCATTGGAAACAACGGCCACGACCTAACCCTTTTGCGCAGAAGCGCCTCCAGCACAGTCCCCAGGCAAGTGACACGGAGGACTTGAAAAGGTGTTTGTTTGCCTTTGCTCAATCTACCGTGGGAGGTAGACTTTGGTTGTCAATTCCGAAACAGCTGTTGGCTGTTTCGCCGCTCGGCGAGCGGCAACACTTCGGTTTCTTCACTCCAGACAAAAGCAAGCAAAACGCCAAGTCCGACAAAAGGCCAAAGAGAACGTGGAAGGGAATACGTTGAGTCGCCGCCAAGTGATCACCACCCGGCTTCAGCTACAACACCTGCGGTCCTCCCTGGAGCTGCCGAGCTTGCACAGCAGAATATTAGGCTAGATAATGCCAAGAAAGCCTGCCAAAATATTTATTACGGGAAGGTAAAATCTCAAAGGAAACCAGGAAATTCCAATGCCTACACATGCCGCACTGCAGACACTGCGCGCGAGCGGTGGAGTCGGTGTGGCGCGAAAACCTGGAAGCGTTGGCAGTGGCGGACGATTTCAGGTCCCGAATAAGGAAGATAAATAGAGATGAAGGCAAAGAAATGAGAAAAATAGGTATCTGAGGAGCCCTTATACTACAGACACAATGACCAGAAGGCAGCCAGCTGCCACACGGGTCTGATGCCAGCAGGCCTCGGACATCCATCCAATCTCTGCATCAACAGCTCTTCCAAGTCTTCATTCCAATGATCTGCGAAGCTAATATTTATTAATATTTATTTTTAATAGCTTCAATGCGCGCAAATATTGCTTTAGCCGCTTGAAAACCTCCCAAGACTGCAACGGAAGCGCACAGATATGGTGGAGGAGAATTGCTGTAGCTGGGTGGGTGGAACGCCGACTTGAAGACACTGAACGAAACATTTAATTTATTGTAACTTAACACAAAAAAGTTTCTATAACATACCTGAACGAATTTTTCGTTTTTCACGGTGGTTTTCCACTGTCGGCTGCGGGTATCACTCTGGAACAAGAAGTTCCAAACACTCGCGCCCCATCACTCTACAACCGCACATCGCCTTCTTCAGGTAAATCGTTTCTCAGAAATTCATTAAAATTCCAGCGAGATAAACTTAGTTATCTTAAGCCGCTTAACAGTTGGCCCTTTCCCGCGTAGTCTGGCCAGCGCCATTGTAGTGCAGACACACTTGCAGAGAGCGCGTGGCTGGTGTTTAGCTTGAATTTCCGAGTCTGAGCCAGTCGTCCTCTATCACAACGAGAAGAATAAAGATTAAGATTTTGAGAACGACTGCACGACTCAAGCAGCTCCATTGTGAGGAAGTCACCGAGCGAGTTCGGCCCGTGTAGCCCTAAACTCGGAAGGCGCAGAGAACGAATAAAAGGCTAAACTGCAGCGGAAGCATAAGCACAGTCAAATGAAAAACTCCTCAGAGTTTCTATGAATCAGGGGTCCGATGTTCTGCTCTCAAAGATAGCGTCTAAAGATCGTTAAAGACAGCGTCCGTTTTGGCTACGCCTGCAAAGATGAAAGCCCTTATTTTTATCCAGGTGCTGACAAGAAGCAACCTATTATTATTATTCAAATATATCGTCAGTTTCCTGGATTTACGTCTGGCTGCATATATGATCTATGGTTTTGCAGGAAGTATATTCCCACACTGCACAGAACCCATTTTGGTTTATGAAGCCACAGCGGCAACCCGCACCAAGGTACACATTACCAAAGGCCCTCATTCAAAAACCTAATTCATATACGCTCTATTAAATAGACCTATTATCTTCAAGTTCAGCGAAGTTATTTTGGGGAAAAGCAGCCTGGGACTACTGTGGCCATGAAGCCACTTCAAACCCTGGTGCCCTCAAGCCCAAGGTGACTCCAACGAGTAGTACAGGTGGTACTTTTCAGTGCTACTGAGCTGCAGTAAGGGCCGAGCTTCGGATATGCTCTTGCGCTATGAAGCTGGAAAAGACATAAGCAATTAACCGTGAGCTCTTTTTCAACGTGGTAGAAATAGTAATTTGCATGCAGCAGGGGGAACGCATTAATGCGGGATGGGCTTAGTTTGTTTAATTAGTGTGCAAGAATGTTGGACAAGTCAATCAAGGCTAGAATGAGTCTGCAGCCATTCACTTTGCCTCCCTCTCAACGAACATCTCTGAGCTGCAGAAAGGAAACTGCGTTGCAGAAGTATCCACTTACAGATGTTGTCTATGCTGTTTAGCATACTGCTATCTAAGCAGGGATCAACTACACCCCCTCTTAATCAACATCGCGAAGATGAACTGGGGTGGGTGGGCAGGCACTGCTTGTGAACGTTCGGTGGCTCCGTTTTTGACACTGAAGTGGTGTGCGACTGGTGTCGGCCCTGCAACCGTGTGAGCAGTGTGAGTTGAGACTGCGTTTTCCGTTTTGTCTCATGCTGACCGTTACCGGAAGCAGAATTTAAATTTGATAGAGCGCATGTATCTTAGTACGAGAAGTTTTGCAGATATGGCCTTCAAAAACCTCATCATAGCTTCACTCTAACTGCTTTTTCTTGCAGCCTACTGCGAAAGCGGTCCAGCATGCATCAAGCAGTTCATGAGCCCACACATGCGTGCAGCACAGCACACCTGAATACGCACGACCATACATGGCTTCGAAATGGCGCTGGGATCCCTCTTAAAATCCGCGAACTGTGGAGAGTACGCCTACAACTCAACTCTAAGCGGAGACTCGGTGTCAGGCTGACCAAAACCAGCTTGCAGTGGCTTTCTTGGAGGGCCGGATGAGAAAAGGAACTGAATAAGTTACAGACTTTTGAAGAGGCATTGAAAGGCTAAGTATCAAATCAAATTTATATGTCGTGGAGGAAAGCTCAACTGACGCAAGTGGTGTTGGGACAAACAGTTCCAGTTTCAAAGAAAAGTTGGCGAGAGGAGGCAAGCTAGAACATACGTTGAAAATGCAAAGGAAACATATAAATCATGACAGGCCTGGTATGGACTGGAGAAATAGCTCCAGGAAATACAACTGGAAATACTTAATGGACAACACTAAAGCAGCTCTTTCGATAACAGGTGCAAAAATTGGCCAACATAGTCTTGAAGGTGAGGAGTTTGAAGTGATAAGAAGAAGCAAAAACTCTCAAAGAAGAAATGCCAATAGAGTATGTAAGGGGGGAAGGTCGGACATTATCGTGTCCTCACGCGGGGCCAAGGTCGCAGAACAAAGGTTGCCTGTCGGACATCATGTATACAGGGGGGCAAGAGCCCATGCAGCATATTACTGGGGAACCCGGCACAATGCACGAATATTTCCACAAAAGCTTTCTATATACTGAAGCACACAGATGAATTTGTTGGAACCCTTTCGTATTCATCGTGGCGGACTTAGGCTGGGCCACGGCTGGCCGTCTCGTGTATCCCATGGCTCTCCTGTCGGCCACTCAATGTATTAAATTATCATGCTATTTTGGTGCCTTCTAACGAGAGTAAAAGCGCAGATGCATCGGCGTAATGCCTCTCTTTCAGTGGCGCAGTGCGGCCAGTGCACACTGGAGGGAGTGCGGGGCCGAAACCCTCTTCGAAGTCGGCATCACATCTGCGCTATATGATTTGCTGCGAAACACTTAATGACACAAATGCATGTTTTTGATAAATTGGTTGGCAAGTTTAATGTAAACTACGCCAGAAGTGAGGGGAAGATTGGACAGTGTCGCATCGGTCCGCTGTCTAGCATCGGCCGACGCTGAACCGCCCATCAAGCTCGTCGCGTCCTCTTGGATATACGCGTGACTATCACAAAACATAGAAAATATTTTTTCTTTATATCTGGTTTTTTTATTTTACTCTCCGCAGTGCCTTTTTTCGGTTTTGATAGGCATTCACACTTGAGTTCTCTGACAATCTATGTTTCGCCTTTCCAACTCAACGAGGCGACATTGAAGGACAGCGTTTCAATAAGAGCCGTGAATGATTATCCCAAAAATCCTTTTCCATGCCATTAAAATCTTTATTTAAGGCTCAAATACTGCTAAATTTCGCGCCTTTTGCAGCGTTTCACAGTTGGCCAGAGCTCGGCATCCAGACCGCCCGCAAGTGGCCTCCCTATTGTAGAGCAACAAGGCCTCTACCTTTTGAGAAACCCACAGGGCTCTCCTGACTTGAAACCTCGTGAAAAAAACTTTTGGTGGAATCAGTATTATGCTGAAAACCTCCGAGAAGCCCGAAAACAACATCCGCAAGTGGTCTTCAAACGATATTTCGATCTATTCCAAAGTTTCAAGGAGCCCGTGTTGATTCTGTCCGTCTTCTGCTGATGCTCTTCACTTTTTGGCGCGTTCATTCACTTATCGCTTCAATATCTGCCAGCTCGAGGGAAAAATGGAGCGTCAGATTCCCAAAATGCAGATAAATATGCCGCTGGTGACATCTGAGCTCTTCTTTTCAGCACCGGAGACGGTTGAACAGCAAGTTGAAGCTCCTTCCGAAAAGCGTGCTCCAAGAGAGACACAACTTTTCCCCTCCATATCTTCGGAAACCGAAGTACAGTGCACCGGCGAACCCTTGGTCGCAGCTGATGAGGACCAAGTTGACCCAGACGCCGACATCTATGTCGACTTGAGCAAGGAGCTGGCAATAATTGAAGGCACACATGCAACTTCCTTTTGCAATGCCCCAGCTGGAGGAATGCCTAGTCGGGCACATGCCTTTGCTCCCTGTACTCCTTTCCAGTCAAGCAACCAAGCTGAACGCACACATATAGCTTCAGCTCAAAAAGCCGAGCCCCAAACATCTGACGCTACAGCCTCCAGTAGCAGGCTGAGACACAGAAACAGCTTCACGGAAAGCTGTCTACACCAGGCGGAGCCCACGCTGACTTTGTGGAGCACGAGGTGAGATAGGCAAGACTCAAAAACACCAGATGCAGCGCTGCCAGTTTAAATGATGCCTAAGTCTCAATTCCATCATTTTTCTATGCAACTGACTGATGAACATGTCTCCAATTTGCAACTACCGTTTCTGTGATCAGGAGGGAGGACAGGAGGTCCACTGGACTGGTGGATACTGCTGGGACAGAGAGCCGTGACCCACTCAGCTTTGCCGTCTCTCGTGGATTCTACAAGGAGAACTTGCATTCACACCATCCTCCTCACCTGAAGAAAAAAGAGAATGATACTGCAGACGAGGAGAGCAGTGAGGGCCACACCGACTCTGATATCGCCAGCCTCTTGGGCTCTGTTGAGCAGGCGAGGCAGCGCTTGAGGATGCAAGAAGATGCAGAAGACAAACTTGATGCTGCACTGTATGCTGGAGGCCTTTTTCAATTTTCCCGAAGTGCTGCGACGACCACAACACTTCTAACACGAGAATCACGAGAGTCCACAACCGCGACGCCGGCCCCTAGTCAGAGAGCAGGGGAGGCTGCGCCCATTGTAGGAGCAAAGGAGGCCTGTGCACCTGCTGCCAGTACAGACAATGGTCATAAAAGCAAGGAATCACAATTGGTCTTATCGCGTCAGATGCCTCCAGCCGAGACTATCAAGTCTTCCCATGGGGCCGTCCTGAGGGCCACTCCGCAGCCCGGAGCTGCTGAGCGCAGTGGCATGACTCGAGACGGTTTTACAGTTCTCTTGGCCTCTAATCAAGCTTCTAGCACATGTGAAACGAACAAATGCGCAGCTGCTCCTGTTGTTGGCGGTGGTATCGCTGCCGAAATGCGGCGAAATTCCTTGCTGTCTGCGGAAGTAGCTGACCTGAAGGAAGAGTTGAGAAACACGCGGGAAGAGTTGGAGAAAGCAAGGAGTAGAGCTCACATCTCTTATCGCATACACCGCCTGGTTCTGGATTGGAGGGACTCCGAGGCCATTGCTGAGGCGCAGCAGAAGCATCTAGGTGATGATCTTGATGGTGGAGAGGCGACTGCTCAGAAGTGTTTGCGAGAAATCGAAAGTGTGTTCGTCAAGGGCATTAAAGAGGGAGCTTTGCAAGCACAGGAGACGGCGGGACTGCAGCAGGAGTTAACAACGTGTCGCGAGGGGCTACGCAAGGCAGAGTTGCAGTGCGAATCCTTGCGCAACGAGATCTCATTTTTGCAGCTTGTAAACAAAAAGCTGAAAGAGAGGAGAGAAGAAGAGCAGAGCAACGCCTTCGAGGAGCTCAAACGGCATTTGGACAAAAAGACTAAAGAGGCCGCAGAAGTGCAAGATGAAATGGAGACCCTCAGGCGGGAGCATGATAATCTCAAGTCTCATTTTGCAGAACAGCTCGCAGCAGCAGACTCAGCCAGGGCAGCAATTTATCACGAGCTCAGCGCTACTCGCCATGTCTCAGACTTGAAAATGGCCGACCTTGAGGAGACCGTAGAACGGCTGCGGAACGAAAATAAACAACTCAGAGCCCACAAAGAGGCAGCGGAGGGCAGACTGAGAGAGTGCGCACAGGCAGAGAGGCTGGCACAGATCGAGCGGGACGAAATGAAGAGAAAACAAGCAAAACTTGCAGCCCAGCACGAGGCCTTGAAAAAAAGTCTCCATGAGATACGCGTCAGCGCAGCTGAGGCCAGACGCAAGTGGCACAGCTCATACAAACAGGACAGAGATGATCAGGACAACGACAGCAACAGAGATGCAAATAAAGATAGTGCTCTCCAGGGACCCTTAGGGAGGAACACGCTGAGCCTCAGTAGCCTGAGTAACGAAGTTCTGCCCCCTGAAGCTGCAACTGGATCCGCACTTAGCAGGCCCAAAGCCTTTCAAGTAGCCGACACCTATGGCTGCGCGCTTGCTACTGCTACCAGTGGCGATACCCTGCTACGCAAATGCAGCAGTCCTGCACAAGCAGAGGGGAAGGGAAAAGAAGAGGCGCACAGGGGCATTTCAAGCTTTCAGCGGGAAATGTCCCGTGAAAGCCTGTCTGGCCACGACAACGAAATATCTCCACAGCCCCGACCAAACTTTGGCACTTACATCGATCCGTCCGTGCAATGGAGACACAAAAGCGAGCCCGCAGTTGACGGTGGAAATAGTCCGGAGGAAACGGAAACGGCAGGGCATGCAGCAACAAGCCTTTCCTTGTGTCGCGAGACTGAAACCTCATCTTTGATCGATGCTTCTGGAGGCTCGAGAGGTAGAACATGCAAAAAAAGACAGAAAGGGATTAGAACAAGCTCGAACGATAATTGGAGGAGTGGAGTTGCCGATAACACTTCAGACGGAGGCCGCCCGGCTGAGCCTCTTGATAGACCGACGCAGGCTTTTGATCCACGGTAGGCATCTAAGCTGGTTTGACGGCTCCTGTTCAGGACATACAGTTTAGGCTAGAGGCTGCAGTTGAGCCTGTCACGTTCACTTCCGTTGCTTTTATGCACTCTTGTGCTGCAGACTCTGTGCAGTTGACACCCACGGGGGACCTTCATGCTCTGGTGGACAGGCGGCACATGGAGGCTCATCCGATCACCCTGTGATTTCCTCTGCGTCCCATAGCGGGGTATCCAGGTTTCAGACAGGTCCTGTTTTCTGCTCTGAATTCCGGATGTCTAATGACGTCCATTTCAGCACGTCTATTGCTCTGCCTTCTTCCGTTTCAATGGGCATTGAAGCATCAGACGCCGGCGCAGGGGCGTCTCCGATGTGCATGTACAATTCGAAGTTGCAAGAAGTACAGGAGGCGAATGACATGCTGCGAAGGACGAACGAAATAGTAGACGAAGAAAACGCGCGCTTGCGACAGGCACGTGCCCAGTATACTCATAGCTGCTGCTAGCTGAAGCTTCTCATCAACCATATTTTTCCTTGTTTATAAATGACTTCTTTTCTGCATCTGTTGCTGTACGTTCCTGCACACAGGCCATACTAGGAGCTGCGGTGACACTCAGTCCAAGGGAGATCGGGAAGGCTACTAATGGGTTGAGCAATCCCACAACCGTTAGGGCAAATGGCTCACTGACCACATTTGATTCTCTCGTGCTCAGCAGCGCATCTCAGGATGGTGAGGCTTAGAGACTGAGCTGGCATTGAAGCTAGCGGATACCTGCTCAGACGTGCATACATGTGACGCACGATTTCACCGATGCTTTGTTACTTACACTGCATCTATGTGTTTGTCAGAAGGCACAAAAGAGAAAAATTCGCATCGAGTTTTTGAAAGTTCTGCTAATGCAGCTGGAGAAAGGAAAGACTTGAGAGAAGCCCTCAGGAGGGACACAGGGGTGAGACATTGTAGAACCCCTGCCTAGAAAGAGAGCAGAGACAACTGATGCCTAAATTCTGCTGCACCGGGCAGCAATTTTCCACAGGTGCTGGATTAGCACGCCAGATACTAACAACTGCGGAAAGAAAGAGAGCATGAAAGAAAAGAGACTGAGAGGGAGACCGTATGTAGTTCTGCTATTTTGCGTCGCTTCCTGGGCTTTGAGTTGCTGGAGGCTATTTTCGGGTGGTCTTTCTCCTGTTGACTCGCGAGGAAACACACAAATCAAAGGAAAAGAGATGAAAGCACCAGCTGAACTTTCTTGTGAATGCCAGTATGGCCTGTATGTAGAGTGACTCTCTCGAAATGTTTTGGATGCCATGTTCTCCCCGCATCATTGGTATGCGCGGAAAGAGGCTACTTGAAACGGCATTTTTCCAGGTTTATGACTGAGGGTTTGCAGTAGGCAGATATGAGGCCGCCAACGCTGTGGTTGGCTGAAGGCAACTGCTGGAGTCTTTTAGTTAGGCTGGCAGGGGCAGAGGGCGAGCGCCACCGACTCCTAGTTTGGTCATAGGGGTGAGGGCTTCAGAGGGATTTTTGTCGTACTGCCGTACTGCTTCTGCCTTTTTTTTAAAGGTGAAACGATGCATTTCACATTTCCATGCACCTGTGTGTTTTTGTTGTGCTGTCAGAAATGGGCCAACGAGACGCATCAACGCGAAAAGCACTTCCTAGGGGTTGATAGTAGCACCAAATGCAACCTAACGAGATCATTTTCCTGTCCGCCTTCCACCTGGCAGCGCTTCGCCTCGTTGCAGGAGCTCAAACAACCGCTGGAATCAGTGACTGCGCAACAGTACCCAAGTCCTGCTGCGCAGTCACATGCGACAGAAGTCTGCAAGACTGAAACGGCGAACAGGAACCAAGATGGTAATAGCAATGAAGTGTCAAAGCTGGAGACCGTTGCAACTGTGGTAGTCCCTGAAGAAGACTCTTGCAAGGCGCCAGCAGTGCAGACTTATTGTGGGAGCACAGTCGGGCAGATAACGGGAAAGAACAGTGGAAATAACTTAGAGAAGGCAGAGGACAACAAAACCCCTCAACCTTCTCCACATGAAAATGCAAAAAGCGGGGGACCAACTGTCGTCGCTGGCCTCAAAGTAACTCAGCAGCAACAGATTGCAGTGGACCCTGTGTTGGACAAACCAAAGGATGATCAGCAGGAGCAGCAGCTAAGTTGGGAATCAGAGGCCGAAGTTGGAAATCACAGCATGCCAGCAAAGCCTAAAAGCTTTGCTGGGACAGAAAGTGCAGCGGCTTCAGCAACAGGACCTAACAATGCTCATGCCTCTGCTGCCACGTCCTCAACATGTGGGTTGTCCGCAGAGTCCCTTACAGAGCCCACAGATGTCTCATCTGCATGCTTGTCACCCGGAAATTCGACTGGCGTTGAAAAAGGGGTTTCATGCACTTCTTCTCTGTCTACACCAAGGCAATCCAGCTCCAGCTATGCTGTTTCTGCTCCAGCGGTGGAACTAAGGGGCGAAGTAGCCCGGCATCTCCCAGCAGAGACGGGGTTCCAGACGCCAATTTCACAAGATGGAACGCCTTCTCAGGTTTCAAAGGTTCCTGATCCCAACCGCGACGATCAGTACAGTAATTGCCACTTTTCTGCAGTGGAAGAAGTGTGTGGCGGTACATCAGCAGCCGCTGCTGTGGATTTCCAAAATTCGCTGTTTAGTGAACCCGCAAAGTTGAGAGAGAGCAAAAGGTTGTCTACAGTTGTTGAGGAGGTTAAAGGAAATGAGGATGCCTGTGATGCTCACAATGACGAATTCGACTCACCAATCCTTGGTTGTCCCTCTCGAAGCGCCCTGAGCGAGCCACAAACTTCTCGGAATAGTTCCTCTGAACGGAATACTGAGTGCGAGAATGTAAGAAGTGGGCCCGAGCGATCAGAAAAACAGATGGCTGATGTGCACAGTGCCACGGAGTCTGCGCAACTGCTGGTTGCTGAAGCTGGGCGGAGTTTTAAGCTGAAGTTCCTGCAGCACAGAAGGGAAACAGGCTCTCTTTACCCAGAAAACGGTCACAGTCGCAAATCACCTACTAACGCTTCTGTTAGCTCTCCCGCCAAGGAGAGCAGGGGCCCTATTATCGCAATGGCTAGCAGGCAGCAAAAGGGGGAACTATGTTTGTTGTCTCCCACGCTTCTCTTCTCAAGAACCTCTAACGGCAGCTGTCTTTCTTCCAGCCGGCGATGCGAAGCTTGCATTGCTACAGCTTGTGATCGCATCTTTGCTGAAGCGACGCCAACTGAGGCTGCGGCGATATGCAGATTAGCATCTCCAGCGCGTCGGGCTCTCTCGGGCGAAGAGCTCTTTCGGGAATCTAACACCTCACCTGCTGCTGCCGCGCGCAAAATAAGATCTCCCCGGAGAACCAACAGCGCAGCAGGCGAAGTAGCACCCACAGAAGCTCTGTTAAGCCCAAGCAAAGCCACAATCAAGAGGCACAACTTCACTAATAGAGCCGTTCATGAAAGTGGAAAGGTGAACTCTGCTTGCGCGCAAAATGAAGCAGAGAGAATGTCGTTGGTGCTTCCAGCAGACGCCAGGGAGCTAATATGGCTGCTATCACGCCAGTTGCCTCAGTTGGGATGTAAGGAAGCCTTTGTTGCGTCCCAGAAGAAGCCTGAGGCCTGTACGATCCGCAAACCCAGCGACTCCAGCTCGCGTCACTGCCGTACTTCGAATTCAAACCCTCGTCAGCTGCCGAGCTGCATCCAAAAACTGCCAGGAACAACGCAGCAGGCCAAAGCCAATACCGTCTCCCCTGCCACGCCTCGCCTGTCCAGCAAGGCTTGTCAGGAGCGCTTTCCCGTTGGAGTCCGCAAGAGCAGAAGTAAGAGTGAACGCAGCGAGAAAGGCTCCTTGACAATGAAGAAAGAGCAGACTCGAGTCACGAACTTGCCTACGGCAGCGCAGGTTCCTTCGGTGGCAAAGCCTTGCAGCTCCTCAGCGAGCAGCGCTTCGGAAAGAAGAGCAGCTTCGGCAGGTGGCAGGCCAGTCAATATTTCACGGCATGGGAACGCAAAACAGACTTCAACAAACGAAGCTATCATACGGTCCGCAACACCTGCTCTCCACTCTAGACAATCGACAGTGGCAAGTGCGTGTAAAGGCACAAAAGGTCGAGGAGAGAAACCTCCATGGGACTCGTCCTCTGTGCCGCTGCATGGAGGGCCGCGTATGCCCTTTAGAACCCTACTTAGGAGAAAAGACACTAAGTAGCAGTGGCAGCATCCCTTGATTTGCTGAACTGCAAACGAAGTTTAATTGAACTGGGGGTTCATCAATTTTTTGTTGAGCTCTTTTTGGTGCAGACTTGAGGCTCGTCCCTTCACTGGGAATTTTGGCAGTAGCTGTTTCCCCCAGATGCATACTTCTGCAAGGGGCCCAATGAAAAATGCTAGGATTTGCGACTTTGCAAGTTGTCATCTGTTGCCGCTTCGGGAATAAACCCTCACAATGTTACTGTTATTATGAGTAATCACATGCTACTGATTTGCCATAGCTAAGGGTTGAGGGTTCCCGATGAGTTCCTTTTATGTATCTCTAGAGAACAGAATCACTGGTTTGTGGAGCGGAACCACTCAATACAAGGATCTAGCAGTCCGTCTAAGTCCTAAAGATTATATTTTGAACAGTTGACGCGTCAAAACAAAGATATAGGCACGCAATTTTCCTCCAATTTCGCGAAATAGTTTTATCATCTCAACTACTGCAGACCAAACAGATATGAGCTTTGCAGCACCTTAGACTGCGCAGTTCGCTACAAATGATATAGTATGAAGGTCTGAGTTTTTCCAAGAGATCTTCTTACTCCAAGCCAGTTACGTTGTTATCGTGCAGCAGTTGAAGCCGATCTGCCCGGCTTTTTTCCTTTCAACGACGGGTGCTTGCAACAGGAGGACCGCCACTCTTGGGCTTTTCTGTTGCTTTGGTTGGCTCTTTCTCGTGGTCCCAATGCGACATTTTTTCTGTAATTTTCCACATGTCTCACTGATTTATTGTGTAGACCTATGCAGCACGTGCGTTCGCACAGGTACAACTATCGCGTCGCAGTGGCTCTTTCAGTGTACACACTTAACCGGGCAGGCGAGCTCGGGAAGCAACAGACTTTCCTGCAAGCCAACAGCTTCGGGGAGAGGAAAAAACTGCAAAGTATTTACTAAATAATATTCTGTGTCACAAAAGAGCAATGGGGTGATGCTTATGGAGGAAGTAAGGCGCGCCAGTCGTGGGTCATAGGCCAAGACCACATTGCTGTTAAGCGGAATCCAGCAGATAAGTCCCAATGTGATGATGTACTCAGCTAAAATACTTAATCATAAATGCGTCTGGTCTCAAGTTATATACGTTTTCCAGAGAACAGTTTGGTTGTGCCTACTCCCGCCTTGGCAGCGGGTCTGTGCGGGGGCCTGTCGGCTGTCGATGGGCCGCGAGTCCTTTATCCTTCCACGTAATCTGGGCAATTAGTTTGCATCTGTTGCACTGTATAGACGAAACAATTGTGATTTAGACCGAAGCAGCTTGGTGTTGAGTCCCTGGATTCTTTCGTCTAGGGCCAGCCAACCATCTGCTGCCTTCTGGCGCTTGGCGCACCGTATCAAGGCTGGAGATTTTACAGCCAGTGACTCTCGTTTTCAAACTGTAATGGGGACAATTTAGCAGTAACTATTCATACTGGAGCTTGTGTTGGCATAACGTTGCGCCGTAGGCGAGCCTTGCCGCTGCCGACTCGTGGTGTCGGCTCAGCCGCCGGAACGAACCATTCAGAACCGGCCGGACCGACGTCACGATCTAGTCAGAAGATGAAGCCTGAGATATCGGCACGGCTGTGTGGGGGCAAACGCAATAGTGGAGGAGCTTCACCCTTCAGCAGTTCCGCTTCGCACGGTGGTAGACGGCCCTCGAAGGCCCCCAGTAGGAGCGCCATAACTCCCAGCAAAGCCGCAAGGACCGACGTGTCACAAGAAAAGGAGGTAGAGGAAGTATGCACTTCATCTCCCGTACTCAGTGATGCTTCTTGTAGCGAGACGACTGCCAGCGATCGTCTTTCTTCGAGCGAGATAGGTTCGGCCTCTCGTGCCACAGTGGCATCTTCTGAGGGGCTCAAAGTAGAGGCTCCCAGCAACATGACGTCACCGGAAAGTCGGTTTTCGCTTAACGCTGATTCTTTTTCTCGCGAGCAGACGCTGGTGTTGCGCGGCAGAGTTATCGCGAACGACAGGAGTCCTTGCGCTTCTTTCGACGCTGCATGCAGCCCTAGCCACACGTCAATACCTGCCATACCTACATTCCGGCATAGGCCAGGACCGAGCGTCAAATCGCTAAAAAGCTCATCTCAGGAGGGCCTCAGGACTGTGGAAACGGCAGCCCAAGGGGCCCCCATTATCTCAACTGGCATTTGCACCCCGGTTAGACCCCAAAACGCATCTGCATTCCATCAACAACATCCCCAAGCTTCACCTAATCACTCTATCATTGCAAAATCTCATTACGGAAAGCATCATTCGGAAACTAAACCGCGCAAACATCGAGATATTCGCGCCTTCCCTTCTTCCCTCAAGACTCGCAAGATACTTACACGATTGGTGGGGGCAGCCAGCATCAAAACCTGCATAAAAAAACTTAATACTAAGGCTCTATGTTTGTAGCTCATATGTTCAGCTGCTGCTAAAGTAGCTGCGTTCTACGAAGTGCACTCTGTGGTAAATGTTTGCGCAGCAAGGAGGACTCAGTCCAGCAGTAATGTACAAGTACAGATGCGCAGCAGGACTCGGTATACAGGTACCGGTGGTGAGTGAGGCTCGACGCAGGAATCTAAGTAGATGTGTTTGCGGATGGTAATGCTGATGGGCACAATAAGTCCCTTAAATCCACATGCAGTTGTCCGTGCAAATGCCGACTTGAACTGTCAGCCAACTTCTGCCTCCAAAACTGTGCGAGTTGCTCGAATCATTCGTTTGGGGTGCAATGTTCAGAATAGACTCGAAACATCTCCTGTCAAATTAAGCAACTGGAGAGTTTCGTGGCAAGAGCTGTTTTGCTACAATCCCCGGCCATATAACGTGACGAAAGGCTTCTTAGAGAATTATACTGTGATCAGAGGGATGATGGAAACGTACATTCACAAGTTGACAGATATTGTTTTTGAAGTAAGTGTTCGACTGCTGTTTTTTTACCTCGACGGCCGCCACGCAAACCAAATGCACAATTTTCCCTCCAAGGCTGCTCAACTTTAATGTTGTTCCTTGCTAAAGCCTGCACATTTCTACGCTTCAGGATCGATGCACTGCATCGCAAAAGGAGCCCCACATCTATCATGCATATCTTCTTCCACCCATAAGCCCTCATGATTGGCTAACTGCTGCTTGTGAGCCCATTGGAATGCGAGGGTTAATCTCTGGCCGAAAACAGTTCAAGCCCAAAAGCATGTTGTTGTTCCACGGATTTGATGGATTTTGATCGGGTGCGATGGCGTTTACTTTGCGTTCAGGCATACAGTGCTATACCAGTGAAGATGTATGGCTTTCCAGAGGATTTTGGAGACGGGCCAGCGTGCCAAACGCCGGCGTTGCCAAGGCAGAGGCAATGCAGCCGGCAAATCCGAAGGTCATTCCTTTCTTGCCTGCATTCTCTAGGGAGGAGCAAGCAGAACAACAGCGGCAGTACAGGCTAGCCACGACGGCCGGCTCCTTTGCTTGCAACCCGGGTGCCGTATGCCGCCTCTACGAATCCCGCCCTGAAGCTGCCTCGCAGAAGCTTCCCCTCCACTTGTGGATATTTTTAGGAGGCAAAGATATGCAAGCTCTGGATGGTGAGCTAACGCAGGGTTGTCAGGCGGTGGCAATTTCGCTTTGAGGGACGGCAAGATTAATGAATTAGCCATGTATTTCTGTGGTTTTACACATTTTTGCATGCCTGTGCAAGTACGTCAGTGTGCATCTATTCATTTGCGCCACTTCTAATACTTGCATTAAGATGTTGCTGTGTGCTTGTGGCGAAATAGGCCTCGTAATCGCCTGGAAGCTTCTTCGTTGGGCCTCTGAAATTCCGCCAAGTGAGTTTGTTGACTCGTCTGAAGATATTGACTCTGCATCTACTTCTGAATCGGGGGGGACCGGACTGCTTAGCGCCCTCGACGTCTATCGTCTTTACCACCAGCAAGTAAGTGGATCAGGCTTGCATAGACACATCCGTAGTCTCTAAATAGGTGTGAATTGATAGACCTTAATTCGCCTTGACTGTTCTCTTACTCTCCGGTGCAGCGGAGGTATCCTACACAAGACCAAACGACTTATGCAGCTAATTGGGCTTGCGGGGAAGTCCCCTCTGAAGCTGAAGCAGGTAAATAATGGTGCACTTGCAGAATCAGCGCAGCGTTTTGTCTCTGCAAACTAGCGTATCGGCGTTTTGTGTCATTAGTGTCCCCAGTGTCCCCAAGACTGACCGTTTGGCCTTATTTTATTCTTTATCTCAGAATCTAACACCTTTTCCGCCTTTGGGCCCTTCTTGTACGACATGAATGGAGTCAGCAAAAACAGCCGATACCGCACAGCATTTCTGATGGTTGACATTCCAGGCTACGGCAACTCTACTGGACACCCATCACCATGCACGATCAGAAGCGCAGCTTTCCAAGTGGGGTTTTTGTTCATACTGTTCGGTTTATACGTGTTAAGCCATTCTGTTATGTATGTTTAGGAGCACAGGCAGTATTTATGGGGAGGTCTTTTCCAAAGTCACTTCACTTATGGGTTGGTCTTTCAGGCTGTAAAACACGCTATCCAGGAATTGATTGAGCACCACGACGAAGATTCGATCATTGTAAATATTTTGGGGTACTCACTGGGCTGTGCCGTCGCATGTGCACTAGCAGCAGACTTAGCTACCACGTTTACCCGAGATTCAATGTTTGCAACGCCTAGCCACAAGAAAAGCGGAAGCACCCAGTCCTGGGACAACATTGCAACAGTTGACGCTGGTCTGGCAAGGACAATGAACCTCCAATCAAGCAGTTCAAGGTCCCAAGGAGACTCGAGCTTCGATGACAGCATGCTTACCTTCAGAGATGCTTTCAATGTTACAATGTTTAGTAAAGACGGAGTGGATCATGTCTGCAAGGTTCATGGTTGGACGCCATCGGCAGGTTATTCCGGCGTCCGTCTCGCGGTATGCAAATACGAAAGGGGCATCCTTGGCAAAATCTGGCATATATAAAAATACAAGTGTTCGTTTTCTCATCATTATCAGCTGAATGGGGTTGGGCTGTTTATAGATATATGCCTATTCGTGTTATACGGGTTTCGTAGGTTAACCGTCTAATCTTGCTAGCTCCATTCACATCTACCAAAGCGATGGCCTCTAAGGTTGCGGCGTCAGCAATGGGAGGGGGCAGTTTCTTGTCTCGTGCTGTTAGTGGCCTGGTTAGCAAACAGATCTCGTGGGACAACAAGGAGCAGCTCGAGAGCATACTAATGGCGGTCAAACGTGAGCTTTTTACCAATTATATACTTAGCTACGCACAGTAACATCCTGCTTATTTTTGGCGAAGACAAGAAAGTTCGCCGCATACCATTGGTATGGGTCAAGAGGGCATGTTTTGTGCTGTGCATGACAACAGACCTTCAAGAGAACACTCATGTGTCTGCGTTTCACAACTTCCGCATCAAGATCCTTCATGGAGACAAAGACAATGTCATTCCTTGGACAATGGGCTTTGAGTTGTTCAACACTGTAGCTACGTTGAAGAAGCAGCTTAGCCTAAAGACACCCATCAGCGTACGCCTCGTTCGTGCTTTTCCAGCACATGCCAGTTTTCAAACTGCATAATTTCTGTTAACCCAAAAGCTTACAGCGAACACAACATTCATGCTTTTCAGCACACACGGGTTTTCAAATTGCACGCTTTCTGCTCATGTAGCTGTGACATATTGTAACTTTGGACCACTTTAAAATTATGCATGCCAGTTTTCAAACTGCATAATTTCTGTTAACCCAAAAGCTTACAGCGAACACAACATTCATGCTTTTCAGCACACACGGGTTTTCAAATTGCACGCTTTCTGCTCATGTAGCTGTGACATATTGTAACTTTGGACCACTTTAAAATTATGCGATCGTCTGTGCTTCTTAGTTTCAACGACTACAAGGGGAAACACACGCCAGCATCTTAAGCGGTGGCAGTGAACGCTACGTGCTAGAGAGCTGCTTCAACCCCTACCGCCTGCATCCTGCGGCCCCTCTTGCACTACTAAAATTTTATTCGAAGGAAACTCAGCTGCCTGAAGCGCTGCCATTTCGTGGCATTTACAACAGCACGCACTCAGATGTGCAGGAAATGCAAGTGTTTGGACCTCGAACCGCCACAACCAGCCAACACAATGCAGCCATCAACAGCAGCGCCCATCAGTACCACTCCCACAGCGTTCATCTTCAGCAAGCTTCAGGAATTATACAAACGATACAGCAACCTGTTCTTTCGAGGGCAAACACTTTTGGCGGCCCGTTGTCTTATCCGCAAGCTGCTCCGCAATTGTTATACCAGAGGTCGGGCACGCTTGGGACCATTCAGCCTAGTGGCGGAACGCCATATCAACAGCAGAGCGCCAATGCCCTTCGATACAGTAGTAGCCTCAAAGCTGGCAACAGTATGCTTCCCCTAGCCTCTAGCAAGTTCAGCGGATCGCCTCCCTTTGTAGTGCCAGGAGCAGGTATGGAAACCCTTTTGGCAACTAACGGTTCGGTGCAGGCATGCAGAATTCACTGTGCTTTTGCAGTATAACAATGCTCACTATGCTTCTCATGTCAGATGAGTCAGTGTGCATCTGCTGGTCATTGTCATCCCGAATGTACGTCTGTCGCTGCGTCTGTCACCAGATAACACAGTGGCCATACAGCGTACCGAGGCCGCAGCTCGACGCATGCCTGATCTGCCAAGTTCGTCACTAGCAGGATTCGCTGCGACGCCTGCTGCACTATGTTTGGTAAGCTCAGAGAGGTTACTAAGCCAACTGAAGTTGTTATACCCTTTTAGAGGACTGCAGAGGCATCCCTAGTACGATGAGCACTGTGCCCAATCTGTTCTTCCTCATGCGAGTAGGCACCAGTGGAGTCACAACCTTACTTACCACACACGCAACAATACAACAACGCGGCTACCTCTGGGAATAGTGGAGAACAAAGCCAAGTATCGCCTAGCAAGGAACGTCCGACAGGAACCCCTAGCTGGATGGCCTCTCAATCTTGTGTGTCTTCACGTTTCACCGGAGGCCCACGATGAGTATGAGCGTGTGGAAATTCCAAATACGCGGATACTCGCCTGTGCACCTGAGAAGATTGTCCACGCAGGGGACTGACCCGAACGGGCCATTTGGGACGGCCCGTCAATAATGCCAATGTTTTAAAATGGAGCAGCTTTCCCATGCTGCACCATTTCTGTCTTTATCTGCTAGCCTTCCAACTCAGCAACTTTCCCTCTATGCTACGCAAGACGCACTAGAAAAAAATGAGAGAATAGCCTGTGAGAAACTATGAGCAAGTGCTACATATAACGCCTCGTCAACAAACCCGCATTCTCACACACGGACACATTGAATGGGTGGAGAAAAACTGCAAAGCGTCAACAGACGGTATTTGCCATGTAGGGGACAACAGTAACTAAGAATGCAAACTTCCTATCCCCTCCAGCAGTGCGGTTCCTCTACAAAAAAAAAGTTTTTGGAGAAGCATTAGAGCCGCTACGGAACTGACAGCTATAAACCACCTGCGCAGTGGCCTGCTAGGGAATGTCGAAGGCAATTAGTCCAAGGAGCGGCAATATCGATGCGCCATAGGCGAATCCAAAGCTGGGTTGGGACGCTACAGCGTCACTCCTAGGATTTTCGTCTTCGGCTTCGCGTCGTACTCAACTACGTAGTTCGGTAACTTCGGCATATGGTTGCCTGCATGGACTGATAGCTCCTGAGGAGAGAAGTGTAGAAAAAAGCAGCCTGCAACTGCACACGGTCAGTCCTGCTCCCCACAGGAATGTAAAGCCTCACGTTCCACAGGCAAATGACTACAGCACTGCTCACCTTAATAGACTTTAAGTAGACTGTGCCATTCCAAACGTGGGAGGCAAGGTATGGCCAGCAACAAGTAAACGCTGCTTTGAATAGTAAGCCCGGGTGCAGCACGAGCAGCTGGTCCAAGTTGTCTTCGAACTTCTCCATCATGCCGAAAAACTCGCTCCAAAGCGTCATGCTCGGCGCGTTGGAATGATGAACCGCTGCAAACACATGCGCCGCATGAGAAAATCAGTGTATGCAGTACTTGTTGTTCAATGACTCGACCGAAGTTGCTATATCCATAGCGTAAGCGACCGCTCTTGTTTCAGACTCGGCGTGGGCATGTTCGCCGCCACCCCGAAGTACCGACAGTGCTAGGTTGGACTGTATCGTGAGTGTTATATCTGCCTCAACTCACCAGAGTTTACGTATAACAATGTATACTTGTCCCGAATAAAAGGATCAAGCGTCCGAATGATGTGCAGCAACAAGACATAAGAGTCGACCGTTGCAGCTGGGAATACAGCTGCAAGGAAAACAATGATGGGCCTTCCCGCGTTGTCGTGGCCTGACGGATAAATAAATTGCAATTGCTGCAACTGAGCTCCAGCAGCACTGTCCGCGAGAAGGTTTGCTTGTCTCAAGTAAGTCTGATATAGCGTTTCGCTGCTATCCGACGAGTGGTTCAAGCCGTGGCGCTGACGTTCACAAACAGCGACACAGTGCTAACGATCTTCTTTACGGAGGCTGTATGCGCAACAGTAGTCTACAGATAACGTCGCTGTATCCCTAAAAACACCTCCACAAAAAACACGATGCAGAAGGTAGAGGCCGTGTTTGTTCCTTCACCTTTATGTTGAGCACGTCAAGCCTTTTTTCAGTTTCCGTTTCTGCCTTCGCCACACGAAAACTGACGTCGTTGGAATCCAGGATGTCATGGTCACTGTCGCTCTCTCCTTCATCATCGGATTTCTCCTGGCGGGCCAGCATGCCGCCAAAAACCGGTTGTTTTGTTCCGGCCTCTCTATCTGCTGCTGGGGCTCCAGCGCCCGATTCATTCTTTGCTATGAGACGAATCCGACGCTCTGCAACATCGATTTCCCCATTGGCGTTTCCAACTTCTCGCGGCAGTAAGAAAGAAGCGTCCAGCTGTACAATCAGCACCGAAGTTGACAAAACACGCTGGAACGATCACTGACGAGAGCAACGGCTAGACGTAACAAAGTTCAGGTTTCTTGCCGTGCCTGCGTCAGCGTTTCCCTATCTATTGAGCAGGGCCGAACATACCTCCTCTGCACGGTCTCGGGGGAAGTAGGCAGGAATAAACTGCTTGTAAATGGCTGCATCGCTAGGACATCCCAGTACAAGAACAACAGCGTCTACGTCAGCAACCATCTTCTCCATCCAACGTCGAATACTCCGTAAACACGTATGCATCACTGCGTACTCTCCGCCAAGAGCTGCAGCAGCGTTGGGGTCCGCCTCAGCTACATTACCGCTTCTTCTGCAATCATTCCTCTGGATTGAAGCAAGTCTTGGAGAGAGACATGAAATTGCAATGCTTCTGAGTCGAGACTCCTTTAGCGCTATAAATACTTCGCGGATGCTGGCATTCAACGCATTGTGGGTCGCCGTTACATAGCGATTTGTAAAGCGAGGAGTCACCTGTGCCAAGTAGCAGACCCATGTGAAAGCTAGGCCTTAACGAACCAAACATTAGAAGCATGTGAAGCTGAACATGCTCGTGCGTGCATGCATGAGCATATTCGTTGTTACGCACGCAAGCTGACGCGAATATATGATCGTTGGATATCGCGAGCGAAAAGGTGCAAATCATGGCAACCAAGCACTGTTTTCCCCCGCCTATTCTTCACGTGTCACACCATTGTCGGAACTGCGCTGAGAGCTGGTCACTGATCAACATTTTAAAATACTACCAACTTGTACTCGCGCTGGGCAACTATTCCAAACCCTATGTTTCGGGAACCCGCAACTGCGTCCGTACGGTGTAGGCAATATGAGTGGATGGTAAATTGAAAGAACGGCAGATGCGCGCTTCTCCTGCTCGGCAGACATCTTGGTAAGACAGCTCCGTGTATAGGTCTTCGCCACCGACTGCATTGTCAACACACACAAGTACGAAAGTGCCCTCCACTGCGGTACCCGTGACACCATGAGCATGCACACAGTTTTCTACGCTGATTCCTGTTTCACATTAGGCTGAAAGGTTTCATGATTAGCACTGAAGGCTCACTCGAAAGCAGTCTCGCAGACAGTTCGTCCGAGCCACTGAATCCATCAGCGGTGAAACACATAAGACACTCAGTCCTCAAGGAGCATATATCTCCCTCGTAGATAAAAAGATGCTTGTTAACATCAGTGTTGACCCGAAATGGCAGAGGGTCATCAGCTGGCTTCTTGGACTCTGGTACTCTGTAGTTCGTTGGCGTATGCGTCGCCGTTGAGAGATCAGGGGTCAAATGAGTCGGGCTATCCAAGTCATCATAGGCCAGCTTGGACTCCTGCCTGAAGAGCACCACCAGACAAGGCTATAACTTCGACTAACTGACTCGAAAAGCTGCGCCTAACTGACTCGACAGGCTGCGCTGAGTCCAGCACAACAGCAGGCAGCGTATTATCCGGAGCAGAAGGCTTAAAAAGAATCACAACCAAGAGCTAAAGGGCTCTGCTGCCATACCAGTTCACGAGTGCATCAAGAGGAACCACCTTGGTTACGGGCCTGGGGGCCCGTACTTGTTGGTAATGCTGCGGGGACGTTGAAGCAGGCCACGACCTCCCTGGGTGATCAACTGGCGTTTCATCGGTCAAATCGTCTATGGATTTTCGGATCTCCTCCGTCACCCAGGCCGCGGCATCTTGAATGAGGTCTCCAAACGACATTGCTGTGACAAGGTCAGCACTTTATATCCCCCGAGTGGGAGCGCCCGCTCAGTTGCCCGCTAGCTTGGCAACTTCACAGGACTTCGGCGGGTGATGACTTCAGCTATGCTGTGTTTGGGTTTTCGTACTACTGCATAGAGTCTGAAGAGCCGCACAATTACCAGCAATACAACAACTCCCGCAAAGTTGCGCAAAGTTGGCCAGTGGCTGCTCTAATGCTCGTCCACACAGAAAGACAATGGACACACAGGGAAGCAGCAGGACCCCTGATGCACTAAGTGTAACTTGAGCAAGAAGTGTAAGCCTGGGCTGGTCGCTGGCAAAATGGGTCAAATTGAAGTGCCAGTGTTTCGCTAGGACAGAGCGCTCAAGAAAATCGGTTTTATTGTCGCTTTCGACGATTTTTCACAAATTTGTCAGAGTTAAATAAGCACTGGGCTCATTTTCAAGGACAAGAAAGGCATGCAACATGGCGTTTGTGCAATAACACCAGCGGAGCAGTTCGTACAGTCAGCGGTATCTTCCTATCCTCTCCCAGTACAAAAGGACAAAGGATAAGAGGCGTGACAACTGTATTATAGGACAAAGACAAAATGATGAAGTTAGTACGTGAGCGGCTCCAAAGTAACACTTTGCTTGAAGCCCGACAGCTGCAGCACTGAACAGCGAGCGCTCAGTTCATGTGTGCCGCGGACGAACCGGAGCAGCAGATCCACAGCGCTCATTCAGTAACATTTGATTATCTTGACGAGTTCATTATGTCTACTAATGTATGCTTGCAATGCCGAGCTCTATCCCTTAAATTTTACTCCATCATGTTGGCTGGTGCCACGCCGTGCCGTTCCCGACATCTTCAACTTTCCTCCGCTCAGAATACCGTGCTCAGCCTAGCCTTTATTATAACGGTAACATGTGTATCTACATATGCTTCTACAGTTGCAATGGACAGCTGTATTCCAGCGTAGCGTGCGCACCAGCGAGCGTCAGGGCCGGCATTGTTGAGTGCGGTAGCGGTAGAGCAGTCAATGAGAACCAGCGGAACTACGCCAGCCCTGGCTAACTCAGTGTGTAATGTGCGCTCAAGAGACGTCAGCAAATTAAGAATCGCTGACGCCTGCGTTTCACTGACTACCTTGGCGACTACATCATTGCGGTTGCCACCGCATTTCAAGAGCAGCGAGGACTCGGAGGTTGTCTCAACAGACTGCTCAGGCAAAGCATGGAACTGAAGCTAATGCATAAGGTCATGAGGCCTTATGCATTAGCTTCAGATCGTCGCTCACGAACAGCCACGCTCACACCCCTCACGAAAACAGCTCATGAATGCAAAACTAGGACGAGAAACTGTACCATAAAGCCTCACGAAACGTTCGAGCCTCTCGCTGCCGGCCCTGACAGGACAAGGTGATAAAAGCAATGCTGCTAGAGTTAGTGCAAATCAAGAAGAGCGGTTGCTCTGTTCCCCCCACGAGCGAGTAATAGGATAAACAAATTAAAAAAAATGCCGCTAGAAATGCGGACATGCTTGCGGACATGTTTGCAAGTATACATATGGGACTTTCCGGAGTTCAGTGTTGACGATTCCCACAACACAAATCCAGGCTTATTATGCATTGTGCTGCCAACGCGCCTTCTTGAACACTCTAGAACTACAGTTTTAAAAGTCTGTATAATGCCACTTAGTGCACATTTGCCTGTCCTAGACACTTGATGGCATTAATCTGAGTGCACTGCTGCGGCAAAGAACGTAATTGGCATGAGGTGAAACTATAGATCTAGCACAAGCTTCCGCAGAAGCGTAGTTGCCCAGTCGTGAACGCGCAAGCATCGCCATCTTGTTGACCACAGAAATCCTACAATCGGGCTGACCTACCCGGCAGGAGGTGCACAGGTACAGCCATTTCGAAATAGAAATATATCTTTTCTTCACAGCCCCTCTGCCCAGTGTGTCCGTTTTGTAGGGGCGGCGAAAATTTCTCTTCTAGACTTGGAGAGACAGACTAAGGGAACCGTAGCTGGCCATCTATTTTCAGAGAATCCTTGATAGCTATGCGCTAAGGCCCCTTCCGGGAGGGAAGAGCTGCCTGGCTCTTCCAAGCCGGCCCCCCACTCTTTGGCTCGAGGCGAGTAATTGACGGGTCCTCCGTGTCAGGTTGCTCGAGCTCGAAAGTGATGATCAGGACAGACGGAATTGCTTGTGCTGTTGTTGAGCCTTCAGGTAATTTCGCTTTCCCCTAATTTCACGGTCAGCTGCAGGTAGAGAGACCGTTAATGCCAATAGATCCTTGCAAGTCGGCTGGATACCATTTGCAGGGCCTGCTGCGGCTGTGCATAGTGTTGCTGAGATTGAGCGTCACTGTCAAAGCCTGGTGAGTTATGGATTTATCCCTGCTTGCCTTGCTCTTTCCCCTGAAGCACCGTTTGTTGGGGGCTTTGTTTTTCAGGTGAGGCGCGCTTGGACAGCAGCTTCTGGAAAAGCCAAGGGGCGTCGGCAGCTAATTGCTCTTTCTGTTGCTTCTCGAGATCCTCCACCCTGGGGGTACTTGAGTACTCAGCTACCCCTGACACTGGAGAGAATGGAGCCAGCCGTGCGCTAAGTAAATCTTTTAGAACAATCATTCGGTGGGACAAGAACTCCCAACCCCCTAAAGCATCCGCCTTTTCATCTTCTGTTTGTCCTGCAAGCTGAAGGCTATTTATTTGCAGTAGCCGGGCCCTCTTTGCGACAAAGTCATCCCACATGCGCTGTAGCAAATTGGCAGGCGTGAAGCCATTTCGCGAATGTTGCCTGTACAACTGGGAGGGGCAGTATTTGATGAAGACCAGAAGCAGCTCCTGTGCCTTCGCTGTTCTGGAAATCATGATCTTCGGGGAAAAAAACAGATCGAGGCTATCAGGGGTTGCACTCGGCAGCCGCAGATCCACCTCAGCCTCCACCGCGGCGTAGCTGTTGGTCTTCCAGTGTATGCCAAGTCCGTCAGAATTGGAGCCAAGACCGGCAAGAGCAGCCGTTACACCATCTCTATCCCAAGATGCGCCTTTGAAGGTCATAGACACCTGCCGAGTGACTCCTGCAGCAACTGCGTGCAGCACTGACAGCTTCTCAGTGCGTGTGACAAGGGACGGATCAGCACCGCGCTCCAGTAACAGTGCACAAACATCTTTGTGCAGTTTGTAGGCCCCTAATAACAGCGGCGATTCGCCGCGATGCGTTGTGGCGTCGATGTTAGCACCATGGTCAAGCAGGAGCCCTGCAGTGCCAAGATGTCCTTCGATGCATGCGATGTGCAAAGCAGTGGCAGACTCATAGTTGAGGGCGTCAATGGAACACCCAGCAGCCAATAGTTGGCGGCACAACTTCGTTTTTCCCTTGCTAGCTGCAAAATGCACAGCGAAACTGCTACTGAGAAGCCAGTGGGTGCATGCATTCAAAAGCCGAGTCCGCGATTCCAGACGCGTGCACTTCACATCCTGCGTTTCTCCTCTTCTAGAAGCCTGAGAGTGTTCTTCATGTCCTAAGGGCTCTGAAGATATCTCTACAGCGTTCCCGCCAAGCAAAACCGGTTTGGGCCTTCTAAAATACCGTCTGTCCAGTTCGTCGCAGTGTAACAGTAGTAGACGCAAAATTTCCGCCTCCTTCCTTGCTGCATTACAAACTACCCCGAAGTGTCCTTCTGCATCATAAGATGTCTCCAGGGAGTCCCGTGAATCGTAGCTGGGTCGTGTTGCCCCACATAATGACAGCAAGGGAGTCACACCGAGAGCTGTTGCGTGGAATACATCAAATCCCATTTTGAGCAGCCTGCTCACACGCACACGAAAGAAGGCAAGAGCTACGGATTTACGTAGCGAGGTTAGACACGTAAGTGGCACCGCGCGGCTGTGTGTTTTCGTATGATGGCTAGATCAGTGTCTCCTCAAAGAATAGTCCAGGGCGAGTGGTTCTATTTTTTCAAATAAGTCGCAGCGCGATTCGCGCATTGTTCATTCTATGTCGTACTGCCACATTCGCAGGGCAGCACATATGTGACGCGCGTCCAGATTTACAATCAAGCGGAATTCTATGTAGTGGTGGCACCTTCCTAGGGCAACGCATATGTGACGCGTGTCCAGATTGTAAATCTGGGGGCGCATCGCATATGCGCTGTACCATCTGTGAAGCTTTGAGCGAGCCGCTTGTGTTTAGCAATAAGAGCATGCGATTCTGTTGAGAAGTGCATGAAATGCTGGTAACGCAACATGCAGGCATGCGTGCTTTGCTACTGTGTTTCACCTTAGGTCTCCTTGGTCTGCGCCTGTAACGTACTGTCTAACTGTGTCTACCTGTCTGTAGAGACAGGCCAAGCCAAGAAGAGTTAGTCCCGTAGGAAAGTGTGAAACGTCCTTTAGCGCCAGGAATATCTCAAGACAGAGAGGATAACACAGGCCTCTCCTAACAAGCGCCACCGCAACAAACATGGGGTCTGACGCGAAGTGGTCGGAGATAGCCTGAGAGACTCATGCAAACAGACTCCCGTTCCGAGTCGTTTAAAATGTACGGGCAATCTCCTACAGATAAGGCACTCTCAACAAAGACAAGCAAGTGTCATGACATGCATGCTAATGTTCGGTGAGAACGGTAGAAAGGCAATCAAAAGAGGTATGCACAGCTCCATTGATCAACGCACTTGGTCAGAAATCGACTGGCGATTCGTGACTTCTCGATAAAGGGCTACAAAGGCGTCAAATCTACTAAGAATTGGCCTAAAAAGTAGTGGGGGTGTACACAGGGAGAAAACTGCGGCATAACGTCGCAGTCTCTGCTGCAGCATGATTGCAATGCTCGACCCGCTGCCGAAACAGACGCAACAGTTCCACAGCGCTACATGCATGGGGCCCATGATGAAGGCTGCAGGCAAGGAGAGGCCTCTACGGCAATGCTGGTTGAGCTGCATTGCCTGTAGTGAGCAAAAGGAAAGAGAAGCTGCTCATTTTCTCGCATGCACCACCCCGAGTTTATCACTGAGAAAGCTGCATCGCAGTAGGACTCTGTGGCTATTTGTTGGCACGTATGTCAGGCCTTAAGGCAAAAAGGAGCAGGCAATTTTCTGAATTTACGGCTACATGCGTTTAGGCCGAGGCTCCAGAAGATAAGTTTCTGAGTTCTGCTCCTTTTTCAAAAGTGGTCAAGTGTACAAGGAAGCTCACTCTGTAGGTAAGCTGCGCAACCTTAAGATACAAGTCCATCTTGATACGCGAAGTGGGCGGTAAGACTGTTTCCGCCGCCAGAACTGCCCTCCGCAGAAATATTAGGGCCTGAAGGTACATAAAAAGTGTAAAATCGAGGGCCGCAGTATATGATGCAGGAAGCCACTGTACCTCCTCTGACAATGAAATTGGGGAAGCAAGCGAAAGAGGAACTTCAATCCACGGAAACACAGGCTTAGCTGCTTGCCTTGGGCGCATCTGCCGCCGGCTCAGAGCTGAGGAGACCCGCAAGAACAGTGTAGGCGTTGAATAGCACCGCATGCTGGGGATGAAGAAGGGTGCTATACTGACGCACTAGCGACGTATATTCTTTGCGGGCCTGTATGTAGGCCCCTGCAACAAGGTATTTTTCAGCTGCAGCCTGCTGTTGCTCTGCTTCACTTTCAAGCACGCGGCAGCGCTGACTAGCGGCTGTAGAGTCCAAGCCACAGCTGCTGCAGAGCCATTGCTCCTCAACCAGAGCAGGATCACCAGCTTCCCGCTCAGTTCCAAAGCCTGCGCCGATGCAGTTGAACCCAGCAGAAATCATCTTTTCTCGGGCTTTTTCTTCTCTTGCCTCGGGGTCTCTTGAATATTCAAGGCTGCTAACTTTGCTAAGCCCAGAGGCAGCTGAGGCAGTGCTGTAGGCGACCAGCCGAGAAGAGAGCGAACGACTTTTGTGGGGACACAGGAAGCCTCTTACGCAGCTGAAACATCGAATGCCTCGTAATAGTCTGCCTCCTTCTGAAATATCGACACACCTGATGCACCCACATCCAAAGACCCTTGGGCGTGCCATGACGTGCTTACGGTCTCTTTGAGATTTGTACAGGTCCTCCTCAAGAGAAATAGAGAGGGAACCGCCTATGGGAATGAAGGTGAGGGCTTTAACAGCAACTTGTCCGTCCTCCTCTAAGCATAAAATACAAGTAGGAATGCAACTGTGCAGTAACAGCGAAACTGCCGGAGCCAGAACCTGGCCTATGGCTCCGTCCGGGTTTCGTCCTTCGGCGGCTGATGGAACAGAGGGACAAGTCAGCAAGGGAGAGTACTGCCATATATTTAAAATAAGATCAATTAGTTCTCCTTCCTTCAAGAAAAGCAACATATATTCGGGAAATTCTCGCTGCAGCCGGCGTGCGAGGACGACTAGTTGTTTATAGAGTTCAGGTTGACCCCTAGCGACCGCTGCCTGGTAAGAGTTCAGTGCTAACAGCTGTTCCACAATGTCTCCTGGAGGCCTCTGCATATCTTTGTCCTGATGCGCACTCATTCTGCTTTGCCGTTCTAGCCCTGCCTTAACGAGTGTTCGAAATAGGTGCAGTACAGTTGTAGCGCTGAACTGAGCTTCTTTGGCTGCTGCAAGCAACACAGGAATGGCCCGGCATTCGACGGCGTGGATGCGGCTGTTGCGCATTAGGCATTGCCAAGAGCAGAAGACGAAAGGGCAGGTGTGAGGACTAATTGGACACGAGAAACCTGTATCCGGATCGTTTCGACTGCGCAGGCAGTGAAAACAACTGGTGTAAATCTGGCCAGATTCAAGTATCAAAGGGGTCAGCACAAACGGCCTCTGACGAAACACAACGTCCCCAGGCTCAAGATTCCTGTTTGCGAGGCTGGTAACATGACTGCCTTGACGGAAAACTACCACTGGAGCGCCTTCTTTGCTACAAATGGAATCATGGATATCTTGAGAGGCTGAGTCCTCCGGGGGGCGTGGCACTAGTAGGGTCTTCACAAGAAATGACAAAGGCAACTGGCACTGCTGCAGAACAAACTGCTCTTCTGTGCTATGTAGCAGACGCAGCAGCATGCGATTGCCAGGAGAGTTATGTACTGCTCCCCAAAGACTCTCGCATGCCGCAGCCAACATGTTTTGATGCGAGTACACTTCAGCGAGGAGCGCAAACCCATCTGCATTCCGGGGATTTCTATCGAGAAAGCGGCAAACAACGTCTTCTGCCTCTTTTACTCGATTTGACTGGAGCAAATCTGGCAGAAGCTGGTGCAGCAGAATTAACTCATGAGTCTCCTCTGGCGTTTGCTCTTCTTCCTGCTCTGTTTCCCCTCCTGCTTCAAAATCGTCAACAAAGGTCTTGAGATCCGCATCACTGACGGGGAAAGAAGGAGATATTTCGCGCAGTCCAGGATGAGTTCTGGGTAGAGACTGTTCGTGGTTTGCAGCTTCCGCTTGTGCGTTCAAGGACGCTAATCCTTCTGGTACAGGGCTGGCTTGCCGAAGCAGCCGAGCAAACAACATCCTTTTTGCACATGGAAAAGAGAATAAAGCATATGTTATAATATTTGGAGTGCCATTTCCGAATTAAGTCCAAACTTAAGGCTGGGGAAGAGAATTTGGGTACAACCCGTGGAGGCTCGTCGTATTGACTGAAAATGAGGTGCCCTAACAGAAGAAACGGAGCCTTGAGTAAAAAAATACCAAATAAGTTGTATTTCGAAAAAGTATACCATGTATGCACAGTTTTGGGGACAACCGTTCACTCCAGGGGCGGCTGGGTGGTGACCACCGAATGCGAGCCTGACTCAGAAGGTTAAGAACTTAAAAGAGTAACTTCTGAGCCCAGCGCGAGTACTTTGCTCACCTTAGTTTTTGCTAAGTTTATTTTTTTCACAATTCGGAGGGTTGCCACTTCTGGTACAGTTACGAACAAGGGAGCAGTCTAGGTAAACCCTTCTGTCGGGCCCCACAAACCAGTGGTCCTGACTGGAAAGTACCATGCGACGTCATCCTTGAAATATGTTTAGTTAGAGTTAAACCAGTTAATGGAAATCCATTGATCTGATGCCAGTGATTCGTGCAAGCGTTGCTGAAGCGACCATGGAAGCCGTTGTTTGCTGTTTACAAGGACTAGCGTCTATCCATAAGGACTAGCGTCTATCCCGAGCAACCACTCGAAACATCATGCAGAAACCATGTTCTGTCGCATAATATAATTAAAAGGGGATTGGATAGGACAGAACTACTGAGGGAAGAAGATTACGTAGCGCATGAGACTGTCGCAGCATAGAACCACTGCACAGCTTCGTTCGAACACGTCTTCCAACCTTCTCCAGGAATACGCCCATTGACCAAAAAAATGGAATGCGACAAGCTTCCACCAATCCACCATAGTGCGGCTTTACAAAGACGTTTTGTCTTTGTGAGTTGCACGTCGATCCATGTCCAGGGCGACCGTTACTTCTGAGCTCTAATGAAGCAACTTTAGAAACTGTAGCAAGCAAAAAATTCGCTGCCTTTAGTCCCTATTGGATATTTTCTGCAGCTACAAGATGCTGCTACGCGCCTGAATTATGTGCGACCAACTTAAAAAAAAGGAAAAGCCAAGAGTGCAGTTCACTGCATTGGGAGAGACACAGCCCTCCCTTCGGGTCATCCAAACGAAACAGATAAAAATAGAGGTGGTGATTAAGCTTGATACGCTCTGTCTTGTATATTCTCAATAACGGCACTACGTAGGAAACACATCTTTCAAGTTTCATGATTACTTGCGTGCGCTGTGAGCATACGCGTCTCGGAGGAGGCCATCACGGGGAACGCCAAAAAAACAAACGATGTTACATCGAAGCCCACTCCTTGTTAAGTTACTACAGCTGCTGCTGCAGGAGCTGCAGCTTCCCTGCCAGTAATCCCACCTAACGGGCATTGGCTTGGCAACGCGAAACAGAATACCACAGTGAACCTCCCAAAGTCAATAAGAAGCCGCATGTCTCAACAAGTGTGAGGCGCTCCCCCCACAAAAGCATCGCCACTCCCACCTGAAGCAAAGTCTTCACATATCCAGCGACGGAAAAAGAAAGGGGGGAAGTGAGCGAAACCGTCCAAAATATGCTTGTGCCCAGGACGAAAGTGACAACACCTGCAATACCAGACGGCACAGTACACGAAGCTGCCAGTAAACGCTGGGAACATGATATGCACACAGCGTAATGCATTTGGCCTTCAAGTATCTGGGTGTCTTGCTTCAGCTGGTAATGGCCCCTACCTACAAGACAATAAAACCTAAGTCCACGGTCTCAATTGCTAAGCTCTCAAAATAAGCAACTACTGTTTGGTCATCAGTTTATGCCAGGCCCCCGCTGCTGCCTTACCCAGTCCCACGACCTGGGCTAGAACCGTGCCAGTCATCATGGACCCTTCTGCCGCAAGCTTCCACAAGACTTTGGGCTCCTCGGAAACCAGCACTACAATGGGGAAGAGACAAAGAGCGTTTAACATGTTGTAGAACATGCAAAGCGGCTCAGCGCGTGGGCGCTCAACTGGGGAGAGAGGGGGTGGCGGAGAGTCCCTTGTCTCCGCCTCCCTTAAACCAGCGCTGCTTTTCGCTGCGCCTCCATTAATTGTTGGTAGTCCCTCAAGCTCGGCTAGGTTCTGCGGACGCATCGGCCTGCTATGTCTTTGTTGCCTTTCTTGAAACAGCTCGAGGTCGCCGTCTTTGGGCTGTTGCCCCTCCTCTTGGCCCTCCTGTAAGGCTGCCTCGTAATCCCAGTTTGTCTCCGCTGTCTCGCGTAATTCCGCCGGGAGCTTCATATCTATTGTGGCGCTTCTCGGTTTGGTAAAGACCCCTCCGTCAGAATCCTGGGAATCGGGGTTGGGGTCGCGGCCCGTTACGTCACTGTATGCCTGTGCTGTGGCTGCGTTTTCGTTTGTTATTGGCCGGTAGGCAGAGCGTGGCTTTGAAGCAGGTAGTAAAGTATCAGATTCCTTCTCTATGAATACCAATGTTGCTTTCATTTGTACAGTGTAGGTCGCTTGGAAGAGAGAGGCAAGGGCACCCATAATATAGCCCGTGACAGACGCTGTGTCAGACCCAACAGCCGTCATCAGTGCGAATCCCATTGCCACGAAAAGGCACGAGAAGACCTCAGCTCTAACTACTTTTTGCTTCAACCAAAAAACAGACAATAGCAGGGAAAAAACAAGGGTGAGAGACCGGGCCACTTGATACACGCTGACTTGCACGCGCTGCAGACACAAGTTCGCCGAGCCTATCATTCCTACAAAGCAAACTGAAAGCGGCAATACATTCAGCATTACCTTTGCCCGAATACGCACTACCGGGAAGGCAGCAATAAACGCCCTGCCCACGACTGTGCGCTGACTACAGAGTATGGCAACCACTGCAGATACAGCTGAATAGAGCGCCAAACCAACGCCCTGCTGCACCCATGACAAGAAAAGAGGAGTTGGCACCTGGCCACCAACGAGGTGCTTCGTCCAAAAGACCGTCAAAATAGATAGCATTACGTACGACCCAAGAGCTCCACAGGCACGCCCAACGCGCACAGCGAAACTTGGTCCTGTCGACGCAGCTCCTGGGCAGGCATCCGATGACTGCGGTGTAAAGTCATTACCGCGAGCAATGCCACTTGAGGGGCTCTTTGCCTTTTCCTCAAGCGGGGACGCGTCCTGCTGGGGGCAAACTGTGGAGCTGTTGTGGTTGGAAGCTGCGCCCGGGGTCTGCCCACGTGACCCAGCTTCACTGCGGTCACTGTAGGTAGGTGAAAAGCACTTGGAACTCAGCCTGCGACCAAGCCGCCCGCTGCTCTGAGATTCAACCGTTTCCAATGCACGGGCACTGATGTCGGAAGATGTTGCCCTTGATGGTAGCTCAAGCTCGTGTTTCGACGTGGCAGTCGGCATCCTGAAGACCTTCTAGCCAACTAAGTTATTTTTGGTAAGTCAAAAGGAAAGAGAAAGGCAGGGCGTGCGCCCCCCAAGCCAGTTCCAACGCCTCGATCATGCGGTCGGAGGGTGAAACACGCACGCGGACTTTCCTGATGATACGAAAGATGGACTGAAAAGGGGTCTCAAGACTAACAAGAATCGTTCCTCCCGTCGGTACACTAAAGACTCCAGCATCAGGAAGTGCCGGTCGGCGGCTGCGCTTAGCGCAGGCCGCACTGGGCGAAGCCAGCCATCGGGGCGCGGATGTTACTGGTGCAAATTGCACGCCTGTCTCCTTTTAGAGACAAAAAATTTCAATGACCCTTAATTTTCTGGTACAAGGGTCGCAAGTGAATCATATGCGCAAAACGCAGATACTAGTGAGGTGGGACACTCCGCAGTAGTTGTTTGTAGGTTGCAGAGCATGTATAACTGAAACATTAAACTACTTTTTAATTTTTTGCCTCCTCCAAATCTGTAGCTGTAACACAAGCCTGTTTTTTCAACGAATAAGCTAACGTTTCGTAAGTAACACAGCGCAGGTGGAAAAACGGGGGTCGCGAGAGAAGCATCGCATTCAAGCACAGAGAAACCATTCAGCCCTGGGCTTGAGGAATTATTAAGCTACAGAATACCGCATCGGGAAATTCTCTCAATATAGGTAGTCACGCTACGCACTGTTCCCTACTGCACTATCCACAGGCCGAGGTCACTGTTTCTGCGCCGCCTTCAACTCTGGAGGGGCTTCCAGCTGGAGTTCTTGTAGTATATTAATGACATTTTACACTTCAAAAGTGAAGCTAAGGTCATTTCTGGGTTAATCCTCCGGCTAAATGGACACCTCAACTGAGAGGCCTGAAGCTCGCATAGTCCCTTCCTTAAAATTCTACACAACTACTGCTGCTTCTCTTGCAAAAGCTACCTAGCTCTCCGTTGGAACCCTATGTCACTGCAAGCTAACGCAAAGCTCCCATACATAAAAAGCCCCATGCATAGGCGGACGAAGGGCCGAAAATGTCGAATATTCTGTGCAAAGCAGTGCTTTAAAGTGAAATAGTGTTCATTAGAGAATAGAGGATCTCATGAAAGCCCAAATGAATATCAGTTGGTGTTGCCCTCCCGGAATAAGCCCTCAGAAGGTCACATAAAGCCTTCACTGCATATCTGCCGTGCATTCCAGCGATGAACGGTTGCTGCCCCTGTTCCCACTGCAGGCTAATTCGCCATAAGTCACAAATCGCAAGTGATACATGCGTCGCATGAACAGGCAAAGTTGCACGTAAAGCAAAGCCTCGCGCTCATCAACTAAGCACAGCAACTTCCAGCGGATGTGGAAATCCCGCATTTGCTATGGGATTGCAACCACTTGTAATCGCGCCTGAGGCCCGGTTCGGCGTTGAAACTCCTCAGTGCAGGTACCAGATCTAGGGAGCTAAAGAGGAATCTCCCCTCACCTTTCCTCAGTGCGGTGTTTCTAGAATGCGAGTTATGAGAAGAAAATCATGCTGTCCATAACTTGTGCTCTTCAGCCATGGCACAAAAGAAACCTTGGAAAGGAAGTTGCCTCTGAAGGACGGATAACTTTGCATCATTGGTGTATGGTGGATATTTAAAACTTTTATTCACTGAGCTGACAGACATTCAGCTGCCCATGTACATCTCCTCACCAATGTTTTCAGGTGTTGCTGATGACTTAGGGATAGCCGCATTGACTGACTTCTTGAAGGCCGCTGCGTTTGAAGTGACATCTGGTAGCGCGTAGGCAAAATCCAGAGGAAAACATTCGAGGCCTAAGCCTACGGGAGAGTGGTCGCTGGCAATCAAAAACGCTGCACCATGAAACGGAAAAAAGCAAAAAAAAACGCAAACATACCAAGCGTAATGAATGAACTGGAGCATGAGCGTGTATTACGGAATTCGTGGCTACTTGAAAAGCTTTGCTGCTATCTCTACAGCGGGGGATGGTTGGTACGTTTCGCAGTAGCTTACACGGCCGGCTTGGCATGGCACAGAAGTACATATCTGGCTGAAAGCGGAGGAGCGAGGAGACCTCTGCAAGCGAGCATTTAAACACCCTGTCCGTCCACTGCAGCGCATGCGCACCGAACGTTTTTGGAAGAATGAGCTGAACTAAGTTACGTACACTGGATCCCGAGAAACGCTGCTACACAGCATGACCTCTGATTCCCCGGAAAAAGTAAGCCGCCAAAATACCAAGGCCAGGCTTCAAGTAGGAGAAGAGAAGGCGCACCGAAGGAATGCGATCTTGGTGTCTGGCTCCTTTGTACCACTGTGTGATCATGTGTGTCTGGTACTCCGCCTCTACCCACTTCGGTTCGCTCAAGTTCGCCGGCGGGCGGCCGTCAGCCTTCTTGTAAGTGGGAGGGAAAACGACTGGCGCCTCAACGAAACCCTGAATATGGCCATGACAAAGACACAAGGCCCGAAATCACTTCGAAACAGGCAGAAAGCCATGCAATTCGCAGGTTTCAGTTTGCCCGTGCATGCGACGGTTCGTGCAGCCCCTATGCCGATAAATACGCGTCGGCGAATCTATTTTTCGTAGGCCTCGATCGCGAAGTTCCCACGGCGGCATTACCGATGATGTACATGTTGCGGCACACATAGAAGCACAAGCTACTCATGACTATGCACACCATCTTGTAGATGCACATGTTCATTCATACGCTCACGTTTGTACCCGCGTATCAGCATTTTTACTTGAACAGACGAATACATATGCGTAGGCCACTGCCGATGCACACGGACAAGCACATACATGCACGGAGACAAAAATACTTATGTTCAATTTCCTGTGAAAAGAACACAGGCGTGTGCCACTGCTAGCTCAGGACACCAGGAAACAACAACAAAGAACTTGTTAGTCGTGGCGAAGTGCCAATACAGCCATTAGCCAATACCGCACACTCAAAACGCAGCAGAAATATCATCTCGAATAGCTAGCCAGGTCCCCTCCCTGCATTTCAAAAAGAGCTCTGTGTCTCTATATCTCCAATTTGATGTCGTCTTGTGGAGAAGGGAAGCCTTACAGCAGAACGCATATCGTCGCCGTTAGGCCCCACCCACTCATCAAAAGCGAATAAGCCTGTGGGGGATTGCTTAAGAAGAGAAACTGCATAACGGAAAAACAGCACATACTACAGAGGCAGGAAATGCCCCTCAGGTGTTATGTAATCCTTTGTTGTCACGAAAGACACGTTCCACTTCAAAATAAGGCGCTAATGCGCTAAACCAGGCGCTACGGGAGAAAAGGCAGCTTACCCGCCCGCTGAACGGTTACTCGCTGTGTCCTGAAATTGAAATCACCCATCCATAGCACATGATGAAACGCTTCCGCCCAACTCGACGCCCCTCCATAAAACTCTAGCAACCGCTGCTCCACAACAGCCCTAGCCTTACGGCGGTCCTGTTACACACAATGCGCACACGCAAACATACGTAGTCATGACTGAAGAGCACAAATTGCACGTGTCTGTCTGTGATGCTTTAAACGTCCAACAGGATGGTCACTTCTGCCACTGGTGCCGGCGTGCTGACGTCATGGAGAATCTTTGCATGTATTCTGAGACTTCCCTGCTGTTGAAGTCATTTTATGGATGCGCAGATCCTAAAAATGACTTCGACATCAGAAAAGCACCAAAATACATGCACAAAGGCTCTGCCTCGTGGCGAGATTCAAAGCTTAACAGCTAAGCAGGGCAGGACAAACCTCAGGGGATGTTGACGGCATATGACAGCCAATAAAACAAAATAATTGACCCCAAATCTTGAGACAGACGCTGACGCCCCCTTTACTCCCAGACAAGAAGCCTGAAAAAACGAACTGACGAACTTTTGCTCACGGTAGCCCCTAAACTGGTTGAGGTAGACGCAGTAACAGCAAGTGGAAGACTAGCAACTCTTACTGAGAAGGCTCAATCTGTAAAATACACGCGTATGCATATAAATATATTTTCTACATGAAAAAAGTATTCAGCGAGTGAAAAATGCGAGTCGAATTGCGACCATCTTCCGCTGCGTATCTGCTACTCCATTCAAGAGTGATTACATGTTGACTCACTCACGGACGCTGCCTTTGAGCTCACAAAGCTAACGGGCTTTCCTTCCCCCTCTAGATCTTCTCGCGCCCATGCCGCCAAGCCTGCAGCACAACACCAGTGCCTCTCACCCCACCGCACATCTACCGCTAAATACCTGCTTCGGAAAGCAATCACAGATATCAGCGTCTAGCAAGTGATGCGCTTGTGTATACAGCAGACGAATAACAACGCAAGGACGAATGAAGTCTTCCACTCTGGGAAGATGAGACGCCCACTGGTGCTCTTGAACTGCATCCACGCGCCGTCGCCCAATCCGGAAAGTTTATCCTCCGAAAACTTGATCCGCTTGAAGGATGTTCCATTTACAGTTGAGAGATAAACAGTGACGGTTTCAAAGATACTCTGACCTGCAGAGTAGTCAAGTTCAGCTCAACAAATTTCCAAGCAGAGATTAACACTGCGTTGCCGCTAAACTTCAGCGTCACTCATAGAAGCAAAGACCTCTCCCAATGTCGTCCACTAAAATGATCGGTCAAAAAAGGCGCGGCAGGCCGATTCCCTTGAACACTTTCCTTTGTGCATTTTAAATTACACGCTATTCCAGTAGGTGCCACTGTTGCATGAAGCATTTGACCCTTCTTTTACTCCACACATTTAACATGATCTTTATGGACAGGCAAACGCACCCAAAGTTTCTTGAAGCGAGACAACATACACATCGTAGCCCGGCAACAGCCAGTCCACCAACGGCTGGTCCTCCCCTTGCACGGCGGTGAGAAGCTTTGTGCTGGATCTCACAAGATCCCCTCTCTTGATGGTGCTCTTCCGAGCTAGAGACGGAGGATTGATGTGGACTTGAGGCGGCCCCGCAGAGTCGTTTGTTGGCTGTTGCCACCCATGTTTCTCCATCCCCTCCAAGTCGTACAATTTGTCGAATTCGCCGCCCATTTTTGCAATAACTTCCGCGGGAAGCTCATCTGGCAAGCACTCCGTTGCGCAAGAATTTGGGGATCCAGAGAGGGTGCAAGCTGAATAATTGGAGCAATCAGGGAGCCGCGGAACCCGCACTGCTGTTTGACTATTCGTAAGCACGCTGACTGGGAAATCCTGGTACTGACAATTCCTGCAAACGCACCTCACAAGTTTCGTGTTGGGCACATGCCTATTCGAGCGTATGCGAAAGTGAGCACGAACTGCGAGTACTTCTCTGTGAGTCTGCGAACTGTTTGTGAAGGTTAACGAAAAAGGTCTGATGCCTGATGTTTTGCTGCCTGCATGTAGCCTACCAGGTGCCGCAGAAGATTTTGAGTGGCTGTGCTCCCTGCAATGAAACATCGACATTTCTGGGGACAGCCGTAAGGCGCTTGCCAGGTGAGGCGTTGTTAAGCTGTCGCTGCGTCTTCAAGTGGAGACTGGAAGGCAGAAGCGGGCCTCCAGTTGGGTAAAGTGGACCGACTCGTGGCTTGTGGGCTGCACCGCCAGCTGCGATGCCACCACGGCTGCTGCTGCTGCTGAAGTGCCACTGGTGGGCCTCCCGCGAAGAGTCGCTGGGCTTAGCCGCTCGCAGGCTGCCATTTGGAGACAGCAGATGCCGGCTTGAAGGGGAAGCAGCAGCAGAGTGAGTCTGATGCAGAATAGGGGTACCCTCGTGCTGAGGCTTACATGGGGTGGAGGGCTGTGCCCGCAGCTCCACTGGCTTATCTGACACTGGGGCACTTTTCGGCTCCTTCACTCTGCTCTCTAGCAACTGGATGGAAGGAGCCGCCTGTATGGTTGACGGAAAAAACAAGGTGTTGCAGCAAGAAAGGGGCGATCGCGGTGATGAGGGGGGAGCCTGGAAGTGAGCACCAGGGCGGGCCCTCCTGGTGCGTGAGGCGTGAACTCTGCTGTCCTGTGTTGTATGGACAGTCATGCTATGCAGGCTTGCTGATGCCTCGGGGGATGGGAGGCCCTGTGGATGCTCATTCGTGCCCTCTGACGTCATACTTTCCCTCGAGCTGCTGGGCACGGGCTCCTGGCTGCCGCAAGGCTTCATCTCTGTAAGCAGCCCCGACGGGGATGCAAGATTCTTACCGTCTCCTCAAATGTGGATCTAGCCCTCAGTCTGCTGTGTCAGTGGAGAGAGATGCGGTGGAATGACGACAAAAAATTGCTGCGAACATGACCTCCTCGGACAAGGAGGTGCAGCTACACAGGAGGACACTCAGGCCTCAACACCGACGCTGACTGGAAGATTTTCCTATGATTCGCACTCCACATACAAGTCCATGTAGCTGTGAATACAGATATCTTGATCAAAACGCACGCGAAGCAGCTGGAGTGTTGCTCACTTGGGGGAGAAGCGGTGCAACCGAGTAACCACCCATGCTCAGAAATTCATGAGCACAGTCAGACAAAAAGCTCTAGTGTACCCGCAGCAAGAGCCCAGCTGGATGAATGCATGGCCGCAAAAAGAGACCACCATCCGAATCGGACGATTGGAAAAAGGAGAGAGAGTGCTGGCACAGATAGAAGACCATGCTTGCTCTCTGGCTACAGTGGCTATAGATTAATTGATGTAGAATGCTGCTGAGGATGAATGCGCTCAGTACACCTTAAGCGCTAATGAACTTGAGTAGCGCATAGAGTTGTCCTGAGCTGTATTACCTTCCGCATGAGACAAACTTTAGGTAAGCTGCCTGCAGATCCTCCACAGGGTGCAAATCCAAGCCCCATAAAACCAGTCCTCCAAAATGTCGGGAAAAAATGTACTTTTAACCCCGGGCTTGTAGACACCACGCTCCCGCGCCAAGTGGAATTCTGTGGTAAGGCGCGGATTTTAGCGGCCACAGCGAAAGCTGCTTCGGGGTAGTTTCTCAAAAGAAATATGCAAAAGTAAATTGTAAAGCAGAAGTAAACAGAGTCAGGCTGGAGTACGAAAAGCTGCCGGTCAGCTGATGGACATGCATGTCGGTTTCACTTCAACCGCATCGGTGCCACTTTTTGGTTAAAGGGCCCGGAAGGAGGAATTTACTTGTACATTTGACCTTCATACACAGTTCGCACATCACCGCAAAGTTTATTTTGAAAAAACGGAACCAACACCCCAATCAATGTACTCCATAGTGCTTCCAATGCGTGTGGCGTTGACCAGTCAGCTTGCCTTGGCAGGTCATTCACCTCGTAATAAGCCTTTCAGAAGCCAAGTTACATCAATACTGCATTTTAGAGAAGGAATTAAAATTTTCTGAGAGCTTGTGGATCTGCGACAAGATGGGGGGTTGGCGCATTATGTCAACGACCCCCATCGCTCTACTTCCACAGCAGCAAAGCACAAAGCATTAAGGCAGTTGCACATTGGCTACTCAGGTTTTGCTGATGTAGAGACCGGCGCCTGCGCGACGGCATCAGCTTGTGCACGCTCAAACATATTTATTGTGGGTCGTTCGAGTGATCCGCACAAAGTGGCCCACTTGAACAATTCTGGGGAAGTGCAAACGCTGTGGCGTCCTACAGAGCCCAAATAGTTAGTTGCCGTTGAGCACTGGAGCTCTCTCTCTTATCTGAGTATCGAAAATGCATATGTTACAATGTTGAAAAACCGTGGTGCCCCAACGCAGCCCGACAACTCTAGCCATGTCGACTCTCGGCGACTTGTACTTCATGGTTAGTAATGAGACACTAGTACGAGTGTACGAGTTTTTCCTTTCTGGCTACAGTAAATACGTACTCTTGGAATATACAGCTGGCGGACCTCGCAGCCCTTCACACTGCTGAAAACGACAACTGCCCATGCCAAATATTTCTTCGCTCCGTGGCCTCTCTAATGTGGAAGTCCGCCTTTAAACTCTAAAAGCTGTTACTTTGCATCATTCCTTTCTTATCCTTTTTTCTTGCCACCAGAGGAAGGCAGAGAACGGTGGTGATAAAAGCGTGACACTGCTCGAACCAACTGAACACGAGGGTAGATACAAATATGGGCGCACAGTCATAACGCGGTTTCCGGCATGCACTGAATAGATATTAGGTGCCCGTGCTTCTTGAGAACAGTACTATCTTAGTTACGTTTTACATTTGTTGTTTCCTCGTGGCGACATGAAAAATAGCTTGTCTAGCTTTACGTCCCCTTGCTTAAACTGAGGGAATCACTTGAAGAAGGGTTCAAGAGTTGAGACCGGAACGGAATTCCCTAGTTATATTCTTGCGGTAAAGAGAACGACATCAGGGCGTCTTTCGTCAGTTAAGGAGCCCTTGCTGTCTTAAAAGTTGCCTGAGTTGCTGCACCTTCTGCCGTGCCCCAGAAACCTCCTCCCCGTTTTCACCGTCTCTTTTCTCCGGTGGCTTACAGAGGGCAGAGGGGAATGCAGGTGCACTGCTTATGTCATCACCAACGACAGTGCTCGCAGTTGTAGAGGTGGTGGGGCTGCGGTTGAGCTCGGACCGCTTTAGCAGTGCCCGACACTCCAGCCCGGACGGAACTGAAGGAAGCGGCAGTGAGACAGATACGGAATCTGTGGTGCCGAATGGGCTCGCGTAGGCAGGAGAAGAAGGTATAGAAAGTATTGATATCTGCTGCTGCTTTTCCCGCTGTTTCTGCTGCAGCAGATGTTGTAACCGGTGTTCCAGTGGGGTTTGCTGTTCATGCGAAGTAAGTAACGGCTTATCACGGCCCTCCCTGGAATGCCCCAGGTTCTCTTTTATCAACTCACCTGCGGCCTCCTGACCCTCATTTGTGCATTGCGAAATTCCCCTACCGCATACACTGCCCAAAGATAGGCCGTTATTAGGGTCCGAACTAAGGGTGCGTTGCAGCTTCTCAAGATGCACGTACACCTTCCCTTGCAGACTATCTTGCAGTTGCTGTATCAGTTGCTGCTGTGCTTGCTGCTGCTCTTGAGCCCCAAATGTCTTCGGCTCTACTGCATCAACGGACAGTGCCTCCTCTAGGGCTGCTGATGCATTGTCCCGGTTATAGCATGCAGGCTGGGTTTCTTGGATCTCCACGTGTGCCGTATCTTCTCGAGTGGCTGAAACTGACTTGGCTCCTTTCTGAGTTGCTAATGTTACAGCTGCTGGTGTCCCTGGCCTGTCAAATATTGCTCTGCGCTGCCCCTCGTCCTGCGCTTCCCCTGGAGTTGCTTCGGTCCGCTGCTTATTTTCTTCTTCCTCGATGGCCTCCGACAGAAGTTTGAGCCAGTCTTCGCTGCGTGCACTGCAGCTCGGGTCGGCTTCTGCCTCGCGTTCAATGATGTCGACCCTCGCCGCTGTCCCTTCCTGCACCTCTCGGCACCCCCGCTGCTGATGTTGTCTCTCAGCAGCAGCACGCGCTGCCGCCTGCACATCGGCCGCTGTAAACGAGGTCTGGGTAAGTACAGGCGCTGTTGGTGAGCTTGCTGCTGGGGCGCTGACGAACACAGGCGGAGCCTGCAATACAAATGGCGGGCGCTGAGAAGCTCCTGATGCCACGGATTGTAGTGAAGCTGCCTGGTGCTGCTGTTGCAGCAGCTGCTGCTGCTGTTGCTGCACGTGGAGCAGCAGCTGATGCTGGTACCTCTCCAGTTCAGCAATACGCTGCTGAAACTTCAATACCAGCTGTTGATAATATGTTTTTTCCTGGCACAAAGTCTTTGCCTGGGTAGCCAAAGCCGACTTGAGCCGAGCTATAAGCTGCTGTTGCTGTGCTGCTTGCCTCAGCAGCTGCTGGTGTTCCTCAGCAGCAGCGTTGGTGTGACTGCCGTACGGCATTGGAGGGCCCGCCTGTATGCCCATCTCACTTGTCTGCAAATAAAGTTAAACGCCACAGGTAACCACACTAGCACGACCATGACCCAAAGAGCTGTTTACCTTCTTGCTATTTAGCTTCACACGATTACACTACCCAAGCTTCAGGATGTGTGCAAACTCAAAGCCAGCTACCGAGGTAGCCTCATACGCATTCAAAGTTTGCCTCTACACTGTAAGCATGCGCCACTAGTGGCTGGCTTTCAACGTAGTCGATGCGCTCCATGCTGCTGTCACTGCGTTGCCGCTCATGCGGCTGGGACTACTCTTTGTGTCCAGGTTATTGCTTATGTTTTCTGCCGCTTTGCATCACCTCCTTTTTGACTGTTTCCGGTGAATCTTGGCAAGTAGAAGCTTTGCAAGGCTGGTCTTCTTGTGCTGTGGTGCTAACTGTCTCCTGCGCTGCTTGCGGCGCCCCTGTGTTTTGTTCTCGATCCAAGGCCTCCAGAATCGCAGCAGACTGGGAAGCCTCAAAAGCCCTCTGCAGCTGTTCCTCCTTTTGTTGCCGTTGCAGTTCCTGCAGCTCCTTGACGTGGTACTCCAGAGAGGCCGCTTTCTCTTTGTGATCCTGTAGGCACTGCTTTAGCAGCTGCATCACTTCAAGTGTTTCTCTTAGTTGTTCTTCCGCCTCCAAGCGAGCTTGTTGTTCAACAGCAAGAGTTCTTCTCAAATCCTGGGCAATCGTAATAAGCAACCATGCAACGAATCCAGAAAATGAGGACCTTAGCTTTGCCTTGTTCTACACTGTAGATCCTGAGCCTTAAACCTCTTGGATACAAATACACGGCTCCCTACTCCGCTGGCGGTCGCTGCAACCACTGAGAGTTAAGAATGTCTAGCCTTACAGTGTTTGCTTCCTCGTGGAGCTTATCTCTGGATTTCTCATGTTCTGCCTGAGCTGCGGAGGCCTGCTGCTGCTGTGCTGCACTCAGAGTTTGCAGCATCTGCCTCAGGTTGTTGTTTTCTTGTTGCAGTCTCGCCTCACTTTGCTGTAGTTCTAGAAGCCGCTGTTCATCTGCTTGCTGAGTAGCGCGGTTGTCGGTTACGCGCTGCCGTAGCTGCTGCAATTGCCACTGCATCTGCTCCAGCTCTCTGTTTTGCTGCAGCACATGTTCGAGAGCTGTTGTCTGTTCGCCGCGGGGCGATACTGCAGCATCCTTCACTGGCACTCCCCGCTTCGTTCCTAGCGCATGCAACCGGAGGAGGTTGAAGGCCAACTGCTGAGCTCCAAGCCCTGTTTGCTTCTGCTGCTCCAACAAATTCAAGTTCTCATCC